CGGCACAGGTTGATTGGGGTTGGAGGACAGTAAGTCGAGGACTTCTTTGCATACACTCCAAAAGTCTTCGCTACGCGGCACTCCTTCTTCGGTTTTTCGATGAGGACATTTCTCGAATGTCTTCCAACCAACTTTTCTTTCAAAATGGCAATTCATGCAACAATATATCATTAGTGAACTCTTTGAAACCCAAGTTGTATGTGTATTTTCGAAGGTAACATTGTCTTGTGGCTATGAGTGATGAATTGAGCTGAGCCCAATCCGTACGGGTTGATCTTTCAGCCGTCCCACCATGACGGACATTGCTCAGGCCATAAAGCATTATTTGTTAATCTTTGGCGAATTTTGTTAGAGAACTGTGCTTCTGAAACCGCCGACGTCTGGTCTGTAGCGGCACTGATGGATCGAGTCGGTGGAATGGTGCGCCGTGGAGCTGTTGGCTCGACAAAATCGTCTTTTCATTGCTGTTGCATCACCGCTCACCCGAAAATAAGCGTCCGATGACATGAAATGCTTCGGAAACCAGCATTTTATTGTGCATATTAAGAACTTTTATCATGCCTATTGCCAGGATGCCCATCTTAGCATTGCGTGATAGGAGATGATAGCGAATATACCCACGACGAGTGGTGCAAACATGTTCACCAAGGCCTGGGACTTTGGCTTGTGGTCTCTCACATCTACAGTTCGAGGTCCGCCGGTGGTGCTTTAGAAGCGACAGAGTCAGGCGAAATCGGCAGTCCAGGCAGCATGAGAACGGCTACATGAGGTTGTGGCTTGCAATGCTCTTGACAATTGACAGTTTCGAGGGTTCAAGCAAACTTTGCGCCTACCGGAGAGTGGAAAGTGAATGAGGCCAAAGAGTTAAAGAACCATTTGAATGGGCGAAAGCAAGTAAGGATAGCCACGGCGAGGAGTACAGTCCGGGATTCACGCAATTTACTTTAAGGTAACTTTCCCACAATATCATCTTTCCCATTATTGGACATAGTCTTGCTCCCTAAAAGGTGTTCTCGTCCAGAGGCGTCTCTTCAGCTCTCGGGTTCGAGTCCCGTTACAGGCGCTGATGAGACCGATTCAGGAGAGATCGAAATTGAAGTCCAGTCTAGTCGAGTTGGGTGGTTTCGGACCATTTGCGAAGCAGGGCAAAGTGGAATTCGCTGATTTTGGGCAATGTCAACTACCAGTTACCAGTTCTTCATTATCCTAAACGAAATAGGGCGAATACAGCTCTTACATCAGATCAACTGGTAGTCTCAGAAAGCCCAACATAAATGAAAAAGAAGAATGCCAAAAATGCTTGCAATTGTCCCGTGGATGGCACATACAAGACTGTCACGAGAAGTGAACAAGTCGCAAGATGTGGCACTCCAACGCAATCGGCAAGCCCGATCAGAAATGCTCTTCAACTGGACTCTCCGCAGAAGGTAGACGCCAACAAGCGTGAGCCCGAAGTGCACAAGTACAGGTACACAGTTTCGTGTTCCTACTCAAACTTCTGTACCAACAACAAATGAGAATCAGTAAACTCACCATTTTCGAGAGTTCAGGAAGAGTTTTGCTCAGAAAGGGGAACGACTGGTCGTCGACTATGTGCCAATGGAACACATTCATCTTGTTGTACACCATAGCGTCCTACAGCAAAAAAGACAAGTTTTGATATGAGAAAATGGACAAACTGCGAAATAAGTTAACTCAACTATGCGAAGCAATGAATTAATGAATGAGCAAAAAGACAGCGCGTTGTGCCAGAATGCATGCGCCCACGTATGTCTGTAATCCGAGATATTAAGGAAGAATATAGCTTGTAATAACCTATTTTGCCAAATTCGTGCAAGCAAATTAAAAAAATGTTCTCACAAACTCTGTTATACTTAACGCTCAAAAACCAGTGGTAAAATATGGCACTTATAAAGCGAATTATATATATATATATAATATGTATATATATAATATGTATTATATATATATATATATATATAAATAATACATATATATATATATAT